TACCGGTACAATACTTACTTATATCTACCTAGCTCCAGCATTCATCCATCGATTCAGATCTCCTTTGCATAGCCAATTCCAATGCCAATCCAATACCTCCCACTCAATCACGCATCACCAGCGCGTAGCCCACGCGAAAACCCACCAATCCCCATCTCCCCTCCCAATAAGAGTTCAAAACGTCCCGAGAAACCCAAAACCACTCTCACAAACCCCCCGTACGTCCAAGTCCAAACCGGGATACCATCATGAGAATCATAAGCCCAGCCAGGATCACCAATCCACAAGCGAGACACATCTCAATCATGCAATCTCAATTCCGCAAGGCCATTCGCCCACTGCTCAAAACTAGTGGCTCTTTCTCCACGCCAGGGGGGAAAGGGATGAGGAAATCTCATATCAGAGTACGAACTAGTTGAAACCTTTCCCATCGCGAGAAAACGCGACTCACTTAAAGTATAAGAATGTCTTCGCGTCTCAATTAAAAGATCGAGGGGAAATGGCGATTCTTCGTGTTCTTTTCGTTCTCGAATCGTGAAAAATGACTTGCATGAGAACGCGATCCATGAAAGTAACGAAAATGTCCATTTCTATTATTATACTCCTGCAGCTTTATTATTAGCTTTAGCTGCAAGTATCTGGGTACATATCAATCAATTCATATCATATTGTTCCCCTCGCATCATCAAAAATTTGATCTATTCTTCACTTCAATCGATTAGATGTCTAGTCGATTCCACCTTTTCTTGATATACTCGAGACAATACCACCTTCGTCACCATATTGCCTTTTCATACTAATAATGCTGCTACTCAACCAATTGAATTAGAATGAAGATTCGTTTCCACGCGTTCACGTTCACCGGCTCAAGAATATGGTCGCGATTGCTGCGACCTTTCGCCCTTTATGTTATGCATGCATAATTATTGGTATTCATTCATTTATCACGGAGGCTATGCTATCTAATGTTGTACTTGATGTCCTGATGTGCATAGTGTGTCATACTGATTTTTTTCTGGGTGAAAGGTTGTATATTCAATTTGCACTAAGAGATAATAACATACTTGCTCGATGCCACTATGCATGCTAACTGTTGTTAATGTAAAGATAGTTGATGTGTAGGCTCCAATGAGGACCTTGACTAGCTAGAGATGAAAAGAATGATAGTAGAACTGAAACCGATGATAAAAATAATAATTTATAGGTCGTGCAATCCCCCAGCCACTTAATCAATCTCTCCTAGTCGTGGAGCTTTGCCTTCCCAACCAACTTGCTCATAATAACGGAAGACGAGGTCGTAGCCGTCAAAGTCGTGTACGATCCTATCAACTCTACGGTATCCGGGAATGTTTTCCATTCTGGCACTTCTCAAGCGAGCGGCGCCTGCACTCTTCATGGCGGAGGCAGAATCACCAAGCAATGTTAATTCTCTTCCCTCGGCTGAATTGTTCTTCGATTCAAAGAGAGTAACACTGAAACGACCGGGCTTGAAAATATCAACAACGTGTTCGATAATGTCAGCCGTCTCACGACCAGTTTGGCAGCCAGGCACGTTGGTCTCGAATGATGCATACGAGCATTGAGGTTCAGGCGTAACATGAACCGTGAAGTAATGCGTGGCAGCACCTGCTTGATCAGGAGCAGGAATAACTCCATTGGCTGAAAATCCGCACGGAGTGAAGAGATAAGCATCAACACGTGCATCAGGGTACTTCGAGGTAGGATAAACGTCCGATAGACCGCAAGCTTCGGAGACTACCGTACCAAGAGCGTGACCCTCAGTTCCAAGCTCTTCGGGGAATGATACCTCATCATCCGGTGTGACAAGACCTCCGTTGTGATCGGAGGATGTGTTGCTAAAAACGTCGAAAGTTTCATCGGTGTTGGTGCTTCCGGCTGTTGTACCACTGATGCTCAAATCGGTTCGACTCAATTCACCAAGACTGTCTTCTGCATCCTTTCGTGCTTCGATAGCCCGACTGGCATACTTAGTCTCCGCGGCCGCAACTGCGTGATCAAGGTAGAATTGTTTGGCATTATTTGGCTCCAGGTCAGTCATGAGAATCTCTAGGGTTTCATCTGGTCCTTGGGAACAATCACCATCCAAGGAAGATAGAGCCTGGTCGGGCATGTTCAAAACCTTAGTCTCCGTGACCGATCTTTCTGCATCCGGGGTTTGAGGCGGTGTAAGATCGGTATTAGGGTTAGTCAAGTATAGGTACCAATGATCTCCGTTCATCTTGCCAACCATGTAGGCGCTTCCACCTAAAAACATATCATCGAGATATTTGACTTCATCTTTCCAGCTACGATGTGGGCCTTGCTGTTTCTCGGGGAATAAGAAGTTCTTTCGGCTGTAAAAAACTCGGTAGGGTTTGGCAGCAGTCTTGACGTCCTCAAGAGATTTACAATCTTGGGCCGGGAAACCTGCATGGACGGCCGCAATTCGCAACATTCGACGAAGCCCAAGCAATAAAGTGGTAGTACCGCAAGTCTTGAGAATAAGCTTGTGAGGAAAAACGAACATGCTAGATTCAGAGAGAAGGTAGGCATCAACATGCTCAGACTCAACGACTGACAAGACCTTGCAATTTACAAGATCTAGCATTCCTGTCCATGTTTCGGCTGAGACGGACTTGAGCCCATCTTCTTTAGCACCAATGGGCAAGTCCTTTGGAGAGGGAGCAAACCAAACTTCTAGAAGCTTTTCTGGGCCTAATATTGTTAGCTTATGTCGCCTCAGGAACCGTGTACAAATACGAACCTTCGAAAGCATTGCTAGAATCGAGATCGATAGTAGCATCGCGATTGATGGTGAGCTGAGGTGTAGCTTCAGAAGGTGAAAATGTATATTGGGATGGGATTTCGAGGTTGACCATCTCTAACGTGAGGGTGCGATAATGCACGTAGTATCGGGTTTATGCTTGGTTGTGGCAGGGTATGTATATTTTTGCTGATTGGCAAAGTACTGTGAAGCACTATCTGCCACCCAGACGAACCTTGCGGTGTCCGACTGAGAAGAGTAGGCCCACAGAACCGTGGGATATGGGATGTGCTGGCGAAGCCAGCAAGATGTTCAGAATATATACGTCACGTAGGAGACGTTAAGGAGGTCGGGTGCAAAGAGGGATGAAGAAGTCCTTAACCGAAGGAATGTTGGATTCGATGAGCTCGCTCTGATAGATGCCGATACCGTGAAAAGATATCGGGTCTAGCAGACGAGTAGTATCTGCAGTTTTAGGTATTGAAATTTATTGGAGTGTTTGGGGGCGTGGCTGGTGTTATCTGGGCCTAGAGAAGAGAAAGGAGTTGGTTAGCAAAATGGAAGAAGAGCTGGTATGATTCAAAAAGAAATTTTTAATCATTCTCCGCTTTATCAAGTGAATTATTGTTCTTCACAAGTCACTAGACCCTCGTAATCAAATCATCTGGCTGTTCATGTCCCCATTCACAGGGGAAGTATAATTGAGATGATAGGCAAATGTTCAGAAGTGAAGCCGTAGAAGGCATTGAACTGTGGAAGAATCTACTGGCAGATAGAAGAGATGAATGGAAATTCTTACTTTGCTGGTTTGGATAGGAAGCGTAGTAGATCTTTAGTGCTCATAGAGAATTGTTAAAGTACTGGTAGGGAAGTGGTATTCGCAGTCAAGTGTACCTAACACTGACTGTGACTTTGGTTGCAAAGATTGCAATTTCAATAATGATATATATTCATTGAAATCTTCATTGAGATGTCCAAGAATAGCAAAGTAGCAATACGAAGGCTTTTGAGTCGTTGAAATGGGTCTTCAATGGGTGAAGTGTGGATTTGTTGCGTTGGTTGCTTGGAAAAACTTTTTTTTTTGTTTTGGGTATAGGTAAGGTCTAAGACAACATGCGTCATTGGTCAGTTTATTTCGCACCAGTATTTGATTGACATGAACAGTTCGACGACCTACCCAAAGTTCTAGAACTTTTGATAGAAGCTCTACGAGGATGATGGCTAGAATAAAAATGAAGAAGACAATTTGAGGTGAATGTGATAGCGAAGACAGAAATGAAAAGTTGGAGGACGAGGGATTTATATTCTTTTTTTTTTCTTCTTCACCGTAGGAAGGGGAAGATGAGATATTACTATTGATCTTTTTCCCAATTATCAGATCGCACGATCATTTAACGATGGGCAGCAACAGCTTTCTTGGCAGGAAGAGCATAAGCAGGTAGGTGTGGGTTTGGTTACTTTGGTAGCGGTACCAGGTAAGGTTGGTAAAGGTTTATATTCATTCCCCCTGCCCCGCACTTACCAAATAGAGCGGTGAACCCCACCAAAAGCCACCAAAGAGTAACATAACAGGCCTGCTTACCTAATTGAAGCAATTAGATATCCATCATCTTTGGCTTCACTCCGAATTCAACCAATTACCTATCTTCGTCATCAACATTATCCATAAACATTTCCCAGATAGGTAGTGAGTGAAATTATGAGAGTGAGATGAAAGAAAACTTCCCACGTGTGATTGGCCGGCTACATGTAGGAAGTATATCCGTCTACATATGCTGAATGCACTCGCACCCACATTTGCATATGTCTATACTTATACTTGTAATTGTACTTGCTTTCAGCCAGAATCAGAATCGGGCAGTGTTCTATTTCGCTCAACATCCTCAAACGGAACACAAAGAATATGAACCCTGAACAACTCATTGTGACATAAGTATGGGATTTTGATGCAATTTGAAGACAGTTAATAGCTCAGCTTCTCGTCTTTCTTTCTTGCTGTCTGATTCTACTGAAATTTTGCATTCAAATGGTCACACATACATTCACGGCGTAATATTGTGTATCTATGTTGGCAATACAGACAGCTATTATTGGAATGGGGAGAAAGACGAATACCATACATTGATTCTGTCTAGATTCATTCTAATACGTGTATTGATCGCAATGACTGGGTATCGAGTTTTGTATGATTCTCATCGTTAGTTATTACTGCGATTTTCGTCTACTTTATATAGACCTATGTATCCAAGCCCCCTTCGATCATCTCTCCCAACACATCCCAGGCTTTCGCCTCCTCTCCTCCGCTCGCCCTAGCCACCCCTCTTAACCCACTCCCTACGAACCGAACTAACCTATCAAATTCTCCTTTCATACTCTTCAACTTCTGTGCATACGATTCAACATCACGATCTTCCATTCCGGGTGATAAAATACTCAAATCCACCTCCATTTCATCCTCCGAGTCCTCGTCCCTTTGCTTTGCAAGACTCATCCTCATACTCATCCTCATATTTGTTGATTTTCGGGGTGTTGGTGGCAAATCTAGAGACGCTAGTGATAGATCCATGATCTCCTGTTGTTTTTCCATTGTCTCTTTGCTAAGAGCCGCATTTGTAGCCTGCGCATCTTCTAGTCTGATACCCAGATCAAGTAATTTGATGATAGTCTTATGAATCAGCTCAAGCTTGCTACCAAGAAGACATTCATCGGTAATGCGCTTGGTAAACAATGTATGGACACGAATCATTGCATCGATATCCTCGACTTCTTGAAGATTCTGATACATTTTTTGGGAGCGTTGTTCTATTACTAAGGATGTGAGGTAATAGTATAGAGTGTAGTAAAACCAGAGAAGACGAGTTCGGAGGGAGTAGTAGAGGGCACGTTCATCGGTGGTACTGGTTGAACTATGACGATCGGAGACTAAACGCTCTCTGGAGAGAATGTGAGAACTACGACGAATTTGGAAGAGAAAGGTAAAGATTCCTTGATACGAGGGTATTGTTTGTGGAGTAAGTATTATTTGCACAGGCCAAGAGAGGTGATATATAGGTTCGATTATGGAGAGTACCTTGACTGATCTTCGACATCTATTGATATCTCGACTCCTTTGTGAAAGAGGTCGAATTCGCAGTCGAAGTCGTTCTGGAATTATGGACGGGTGGGAACCAATCGTACTTTGTGCGAGCTCTGTCAATGAGAAACGATCATTCCAGGAAGAATCTAACGTATCTAACTTATCGAAAATAGATGACATGAAGCTGGAGGAAGAAATGCCATCGGCGATGAAATAGACATGAGCTAATGCATTGAGGGCATTATGTAAACCGCAAGAGTCGAACAGAGTTTGGCGCAATTTATTTGAGGTATGATGATGCTTGCTTCTAATCCACTTTTCGAAAGCTACATCAAATAACTCGGAGAAAGGGGCCAAGAAAAATTTGGAGGTATTGCATACGGAATCAAAGTCGAGCTTTGGTTCTATTTTCCGCTTTAACCGTACAGATTCAAATTGATTTAGATGTTTCAGAACAACAACGCTTTTGCCAGTATTAAAGATTCTTTCCGCTGCAGTGTGAAGAAAACTCGGAGCATGTAATACGCCACTTTGGGTCTTGCGTAGCTTAAAGCGAGACTGCCAAATTGAAGACGGATCCGAGTTTCCAGTAACTTCAGAGACAAAGAACACGTTATCTCCACTGCTGAGCTCACCTTCCTCCATCCATGATCTTATTGGCCTTAGGTAGATTTGAAAGCACTGAAAGAAGATCTTACCCATGAAGGAATACATATCATCATCTCCAGCCATTTGGGAGGTACAAGTTTCGTCGTATAGAAACTCGAGGTACCGGAAAGCATGGGCATATGGATCATGCTCAACTCTTTTGATGATTTCGGCCAGTCTGCTAAGGGGCTTGGTAAATTCCGCCAGTTCGTTTTGTAGACTTAGAAGACTCACGACAACATCTTTCGATGGAGCGACAAATCTACTCTGGATTTTGGATAGCCTAGTGTCCAAATCCATGATCCGCTGAGAAATAGATGATTGCAGAACCTGTAATAATGGCACGTTTTGAGGTTGTTTTACCCAGGCTCGAAGAACAGCTAATGCTGAGCCTTGGGTTGCAAAGGTTTCCATTAGCATATCATAACCTTCCGGAGTCAGATGCTTGAAGGTATAACTCTTCAAGGGTTTAATAATCCGAATATCACGAGGGTTTGGTTCGAAAAGAGAGCTCAATGATCCAGCAAACATGAAGAGAATTTCTCGAACCCCCTGAAGTTCGGTGATAGGTTTTCTAACAGTTTTTAGCTGAATGCCATTTACGCTTGGTGGTTTCCGCCAAAATTGTGCCTTCCTCAATTTATTCAAAGTGTCCTCTTCAAGTGTATTCACAATAAAATCTTGGGGTGTCCTGGTGTTGTCATCATCCAAACTCGATTCTCCTGTTGATCTGGTCGACTCTGTCAATTCTGATCGAGTATCCCCAAGGGCATCATCATCATCAGAACTATCCGCCCCAAAATCGACATTCCTCCAAATGCTTTTTTCACGTAGCAGAGGATCCTCGGCAACAAGATCTCGCCATTTCAGAGGGGGCTCGGTTTCAGGATCTAATACTTTGATCAATTCCAGATCTTCAATCCTCGACTTAGAAACTGGCTTATTCGATAATTCAAGAAGTAGATGTAGAATTTCGGATGTCCATTTCAATTTCAGTTCAGGTAGTTTCTGCAAACGCTCCTTGAGCGCATCTGCGAGTGGATCTTCATTATATACTCGAAACTTTTCGTCCAGACCTTCAAGTCGATCCTGAATATCAAATTGGTTTGTTCGGTTGTAGTTACCATGCCTGAGTGCTCGAAGAGCAGTTTCTCGACAAGTATTGAACCTGGTAGGATCAGACTAAACTGGTCAGCCCCTTGATTCTAAGGATATTGAAGCAGTGAAGAAGACGATCCAACGAAAACAAAGATGTTTACCTGTGGAGAGAAGGAAGTGATTAATGTGACAAGCTCATCCGTTAAAGCTCCCAGCTTTGCAAGATGCGCCATTGTATTAGTTCATTAGTAAGCTTGTCTCTATGATGTAATTCATAAACTTTTGATCAATGATATACTGGATCGAAGTTCACTCGAAAGGGTGAGTGGTAGTAGAGTTTATGCACTCCTGATCAATGATTTTCGCCGGCAAGGTTCATCGAATGTTAAAATTAATATAAATATTGGTGGTAGAGTTATTCCGCACGCGCTTCAGAAAGCGAAGACGCGATAACCATTCGGCCTTGAATACAAGGCTGTTATCGCTTTACCTAAACCTTGCTTGTTCGAATCTTAGTACCTTATTATTATTAGCCTGCAGGTGTGACAAGGCAAATCCCATCCCCTTTTTTAGGGTCTCCAGTTAGTCGGTTTTATTTTCCATGATCTTACGCGGCGCTGGAGCTTCAATGACTTTAGAATTTCGACACATCTTTTGAAGCCAGAAATCATCAATATGGCTGTAGCACGCCCAATTCGAGTCCTAGGCTTATTAGCCATAGGATTATGGATGTTTTTCTTATATCAAGTTTTTGGTCCACCAAAACCAGAACTTGGGCCTGGAGATACACTTGCCAATATAGAAAGAGATCCTAACCTAGATCGTATGCGCCGAATCTCCTTCAATGTCAATTACCTTGAATGTCATGCTGACAAGTTTTATAGCTACCGGAGAACCAGAAGGTGTGTTATGGAGAGCCGATCAGGGCTATGGACTAGGCGCCGAGGGAACGAGTCGAATCAATGCTACTCTTTTATCTTTGGTTCGCAACGAAGAGGTTGATGGTATGGTTCAGGCTATGCGAGATTTGGAAAGAACATGGAATCGCAAGTTTAATTACCCGTGGACATTTTTCAATGACGTACCATTCTCGGAGGAGTTCAAACGTCGAACTTCTGCAGAAACGAAGGCAGAATGCAGATATGGTACGCAGCCCTACCTCTGATGACATCTGTCAACTCTAACAATCCACACAGAAGAGATCCCCAAAGAACATTGGGAAATGCCCTCATGGATCGATCCAGAGCTTTTCGAAGAATCGGCAAAGATACTGAAGGAGAATGACATTCAATATGCCAGCATGGCATCTTACCACCAGATGTGTCGATGGAATAGTGGTTTATTCTACAAGCATCCAGCCATGGCAGATATGCAGTTTTACTGGCGCGTCGAGCCAAAGGTCCATTTTTTCTGCGATGTCGACTATGATGTGTTCAGGTATATGCAAGATCAAAACAAAACTTACGGATTCACCATCAATCTTTACGATGCGCCTCAATCAATTCCATCCCTATGGCCCGAAACCACAAAATTTCTAGCCGCACATCCAGAGTACATACACGAGAATAATGCAATGAATTGGGTTACAGATAGTGCGCGCAGACCAGAACATAATCGGAATGCAAACGGCTACTCTACATGCCATTTCTGGAGTAATTTCGAGATTGCCAACATGGATTTCTGGCGCAGTCAAGCATATGAGGATTACTTCAACCATTTGGATCGTGCGGGAGGTTTCTTCTATGAGCGATGGGGAGATGCCCCAGTTCATAGTATTGCCTTGGCACTTTTTGAAGATTCGAGCAAAATTCATTGGTAAGTTTCGAGTCCTTTACGTGAAATTACTGTCCCTGACTGATCTTTTTCTACAGGTTCCGTGATATCGGCTACCAGCACATCCCTTACTTCAATTGCCCCAATTCGCCAAAATGCAAAGGTTGCCAGGCGGGACGATTCACAGACGGAGAAGCTTGGCTACACAAGGAGGATTGTAGGGCAAACTGGTTCAAATATGTCGGTATGGGCTGAACGAGGATGGAACCGGGAATGACCAAAAGGAATATAGATGGTGGTAACGGATGACATATTGTATTTAAGTGTCTTTATGATGTTTGAAAGTTTAAAGCAGGCAAGCATTGGCAGGGCGTTTGGTAGGATTTCGGGAAACATGACAAATTATTAGAGTATAATATGGCACGGCTCATGAATTACATATACCAGCAGGAGTGCTTTTGGAAAGCGACACCCAGGTATTATATCGGTTAACATTATCCTCAATTCCTTTCAAGCATATTATAGCATTGTTCCTGTGATTTATCGGACACGAGACCGCTTGGTTTGTGCAGCGACTGTTTCTTTCAGATGGCGTCAGCTCAATGTAGCGAGCGTTTACTCCGTACGGTCCAACAATTTAATTTCTGAGAAAATATTCCCGAAGACTCGCAAGATCATCCACTTAAGTGTTTACCGCGAATATTTCTAGCAAATGCTGTCGAGGTTTCTCCCTCTCCATACGTCTCAATCAAATTAAGAGATTGGGCGAAACCCTCTTCGGAATCAGTCATGTCTGGTTCCAAGGCCTGAATGTATCCACGCGGGGCTGCTTATGGAGAAATGCAGCAACACCGAGGTACCTTGTGCCGATCAAACGACAGATTGTTGTATAGAATACCTCGACACAGGTTTCCTTTTTCTATTTCCTGGATGAGCCAATTTTTTGTTCGTTGTATCTACTGATCTTTATCTGCAATATTTGTTTCCGTGCTCTTCTATTCTCCTAGGCCGCAATTCCTGTGATTAGGCTCGTCGACAAGATGTCGAATTTTGAGGACATAATCAGAGAAGCTTGCAGTAGCAGAGATATTGCAGGTGCAGTGCTGGTAGGGGGAGATAGCTCTGGTATGCACATTTCCTTGATTCGTCAAATTAATTGGTAACTGGTGTTCATTAGTGTGAACACGAGCACTATAGATTTCGAGTACCTATTCAACATAGTTTTCAAGGCTCATTGGATGTCTTCTCATCTTGTTTTTTTTTTGTCAATATATTTCAGGGATTAACATGTCCAGGAAAATCGTATTATGCCAAAGCCTTCGGATCTCAGTCTCTTGAGGATCCCTCGAAGCCTATGAATTTGGACAGTGTCATGTGGTTTGCTTCCTGCACAAAACTATTCACAACCATCGCGGCATTACAATGTGTTGAGCGAGGACTTTTGGATCTAGACGGCGATATCTCAGGGATCTTACCAGAATTCAAGGGTGTACAAATCTTGACGGGTTTTGATGAAGAAAGTGAGAAGCCAATCTTAATAGATAACCATAAAACTATAACGCTGCGGTTTGTTGCTCCCCCCTATCCTAAATAAACACAAAGCATGAAACTGATCATACTAAGACATCTTTTAACCCACTCATCTGGACTGGGATATGACGTTTTCGGTAAGTATTGTAAGTTCTAGACGTTCAAGGAAATAACTAAGTTCGTTAAAGATCCGTTGCTTTCACGGTACACAGAATACACCAGTAAAGGCTCGCCTATGCCCACAGATGGAGAAGTTCTAGTCAAAGAACGCTTTAAATTCCCACTTCTATTTGCCCCTGGTGAGTCATGGGGCTATGGAGTTGGTATTGACTGGGCTGGTCAGATGGTGGAAAGAGTCAATGACAACATGTCCTTGGAAAGATACATCAGAAAGAACATATGGGGGCCTCTTGGTATGGACAGCATAACCTTTCACCCGACTCAACACCCAGAGATTTTTTCAAGATTAATCACAATGAGTCAACGAGAAGGAGGTGTCAATCAGTATGGAACAACTGACAATCCCACGGGTAAAGTCAAATATACCAGTCAAGTACCATTTGATCCAGCTACCAAAGACTGTCAAGGAGGCGCTGGGTCATTCGGAAGTCCCGTTGATTATTTCAAGTGTTTAAAAAGCATTTGTGCCAATGATGAGAAATTACTAAAATCAGAAACTGTGAATGAGATGTTCAAGCCGCAGCTGAGTGAAGCCTCAAGAAAGGGCTTGATGAAGAGCCTTTCTATCCCAGAACTTAATGCATGTTTTGGTGCATTTCCTAAGGGATTGAAAGCAGATTGGGGCCTCGGAGGTATGATGAATCTGGAAGATATCGGTGGTAGAAGCAAAGGCTCGATCGCCTGGGGAGGATATCCAAACCTTCAGTGGTGGATCAATCGTAAAGATGGAGTATGCGGTATATGGGGCTCGCAGCTAATTCCACCTGGAGATCCAAAGACAAATCGATTGATTACTGTTTTTGAGGACGAAATACATAGGAAAGCGAGTGTTTCTCGGGAGAAGTTGTGAGGTTTGAGAGTTAGTCTGGCAAGTGATTATATTTGTGGCCTGTCGTAGGGGCAGTATATTTGGATCCTATCTCTTTCTTCAATCAGTGAAAGTCACAAGCTCTATCTCATGATGATAGTGTTTATCGGTGCAGGGGGTTTTTTGTGGAAAGTATTATATACGAAGCACGTCAAAATTTGCATTTATACAGGAATCAGTTCTTCATTTCTAAAGACAATCAAAATTAAATGCAAGATGGCCTTTCAACTTTTACACAACTTCCTTCTTTCCCTTCTCAGTCCTTGCAAATATACATCCGCTGCTATAGCCTCGGCGTTTCTGTATGAAAATAGGAAAGAGCCATCTGTTCAAAAAAAGAAAAAAGGTAAGATATGAAATTTTCGGATCTTGACCTTTTCCAAGTTCAACTACATATGAGTTCGACAACTCGCAGACCTATGAACGACATCTTTATCCACCAACCTACAACCCATCGAAATGTCCGTCACGACGTTAAATGGCCAACCTACACTTAATATTTCCGGTCCTGGCCAGACCGCTCTCTCCCGTCTCGATCCGCTCAAAAAAGTCTTCACCAAATTCTTTTCTTCCATTCCACAAAAAGTACGAGGTCATGTTGTTGCTGTTATTGGCGAACTTATTGGCACAACTGCTTTTCTATTCATCGCATTTTCCGCGGCTGAAGTCGCTCTCGCGTCTGCAAATGATAACAAAGGCGATAAAGTTAGCTACGAGACAAAATCGATTAGTACAACTCAAATATTGTTTATAGCATTTGGAGCTGGAATAAGTCTGGTGGTTAATGCGTGGACTTTTTTTCGCATTAGTGGAGGGCTGTTTGACCCAGCAGTGCGATAGTAATCTAAGTCTAAGTTTTGGAGTCTGTACTAACTGTGAAAGGTCTCTATTGCATTGTTCTTCGTCGGCGCAATCGATTTGACTAGATGTGTACTACTTTGTATAGCACAATGTGTGGGTGCAATTGCTGCTTCTGCAATGGCTTATGGTTTATATCACGGAGGTTTACATACGGCAACTACACTTAAGCCTGGCATGAGCCCAGCACAAGGAGTTGTTCTTGAGATGATACTCACATGTCAGCTCTGTTTTACGGTTCTTATGCTCGCAGCTGAAAAGCATGAGGCTACATTTTTGGCACCTCTGGGTATTGGATTATCTGTGTTCATAGGGGAACTAGCCGGTAAGCAGGTTCAGATCATCCCGAAGAAATCTGTCAGACTTATACTAACAAAACAAGGCGTCTTCTGGACTGGCGGCTCCATGAACCCAGCCCGCTCTCTTGGTCCCGCAGTCATAACCTTAAGTTTCCCAAGCTACCACTGGATCTACTGGGTCGGCCCTATTGCCGGCGCCGGCCTAGCAAGTATAATCTACAAACTAATCAAAGCACTCGAATACGAAACCGCACAACTTTCCGAGAGCGAAATTCACGCTCATCCCGCTGAAGACTCAGAGAAAGCATCTGGACACACGGGTCCCTGCGAGTGTATGTGTTTCAAAGTGGCGGCTCAGGAACAATCATCGACCGCAAGTATGCTGCAAGTTGCTACGACAGATGCGAGGAAAAGCTCGAGTTTGGTTCCGACGAAAAGTACCAAGAGTGGAAATTCAGATGTGAAGAAGACTGAGACAGTGGTGGAAGAGCCGGCGAAGACTCAACCGAAGGCTCCTCCAGTGGCTGACGATGGTTTCTTTGGGGAGATGTATGCAGATTGAGTGGGAACTTACAGCATGATTCTAGGACGAATATCAGTATTATTGTTTGTCTAAAGTTGGACGATTGTGTTATAAAATTGGTTTAGTGAATTATTGAATAACTTCTTCCCTTTTCGGGATGATTGGTGTAGTTTATGATAAGGTTCTGTGCGGGTATGGGAGGGTTAATTCAAGTTATGCTACTTTTATTCTTTTGAATGTAAATGCTACGATATTTTCCCTTGCACGTTTGTATGATATATTCGTGGGTTTGATTCTGACTTGAATATCGATCCTTTCGACTATGCGAGAAACTCTCTTTAGTCATTCATATCTTACAAAACGCTCAGAATAATAATATGCTTCACTCCTAGTTTTTGAAGTCGTTCTTCCACACATGTGCACCTTGATGAGAACAATTATATATGCCGGCGAGTTGCTGATACTAGTGGCTTCTATTTATGGCTAGATGCCCTTGACAGAAAGCTAGAGAATGTAGGGTGTCTAGGTGAATGGAGAGTTTTAAGAAGTTGAAATATTTCTCGTGTCTTGCTCATAAAAAAATAGAATACTGTCCCAAGAGAAGCAGCTTGATATTGCATATGCGCTCAAAAATCTACTCTTCTGTAAATAGATAGATATAGAGAACATCAGATAACAAGGCACGGATTATTGGTTTCAAGATGCACAAACTCGCGCTTTGCTTATAAATGCATCAGTCTATATCTCTTCATAAGATAGACCAGATGACTAGATGAAGGAAATGGAAAACGCAGTGCTAGTGATATTAAATCTTTTGTTTGATGAAATTTGTTATGCAAACGGAAAAATGGAGTGTGAGCGATCCCAGTGGAATGGAGTAGAGATATCGACTTTCAAATCTGCCTTGATACATTGAGCTGTCATCCGATCGTCGACAAACTTCTTTTCTTATATATCATGTACTATGCAAAATATATATGGCTCATATAGAGCACTTAGAGACTAATACTCCATTTGTTATCCCTCTAAGCTCACTCAGTATCAGTGATGATGTAGTGGCTAGACCGTCATCCAATATCATATACTGAGCCGACGTTCATAGCAATAGCGTATGAGAAGCCAAATTTGATGAGTTGTAATCAGAAATTTACTGTTTTCTTCAGGAAAGATTTGGTTGTTGGAAATATGAGTAGAAAATATAGCATTTCAGTACACACAAAGCTGTATTGAAGACGTTCAGTTCAGTTTCACTGGAGAGATTGACTTATATTGAAATTTGAAGAGATAGACGAGAAGAGACGATAGCCTTCTAAAGTTCTTACGGTCAGAAATACAATGATCCAATTTTCTAACTTGAACTGAATGGTCAAGGCTAAAGAAATGAAGTAAAAACATTTCTTCATTCACGGATTGAATTGAAAGGTGTTTGACTCACTACTTGTTTCCAATATTTATCTGCACATGTTGAAGCAAGACCACCAAGAAACAAGATACTGTGGTAAGATTCATGATCACAAAGTGGAAGATTGTCTTCCGTCTACTTCCTCCTAAGAACATGCAGATAGCAGATAGAATCTTACTACACCCCCCTACTCTATGAGAAATCTACTGTAAATCCGCAAATCCGACAGGAAGCATGTCTGACATGAATACCCATCTCATCTCCCCCCTCTATCAGAATACACCTCGAGGGACACCTCAAGCAGTGGCTCAATTCCGCCACGAGATCTTCGGAGGAATACACGACGTCTCCTGTTGCTAGCCAACATGTTAGAGACATAATCTACCTACTTCCTTGATCGATGGAACATACTCCAGATAAAACACATCCATGTACAAAAGGAAGGGTGTATTCCTCCCTACCACGTACTCTCGTCTATAACCGGATTGAGAAATTGTTAACGTGGGATGGATGGGATGGATGAGGACGGGGCAGCGCACTACAGGATACAAGGCTCGATGTGCTATCAAATGCTACGCGTATTGCGAATTAAATATTGTAGATCTAGTGTTTACTCTAGAGTTCAATATCCACGTTTCTCTCTATACCATAGGAGTATATAGTGTTGTATGATAATTCACACGGCAAAGCTTCACCTCGTAATTGGCTGTACATATATGCGCTCAGCAACGAAAGTAGAAGTGTTGCGAGTAAGTGAGCGCGTGGGGTATATCTATGATATGATTCGAATCGACTAAGCGGATAACGCGCAGTATACACACACACACACACACATATAGATAAGTAGTATATATATATTTGAGGCTCCACGATATTGAATTCTACGATGTGAGTATGCGGCACAAGAAGTAAGTCGACGAGGGGCTTCGTAAACGACCAACTGCAGATGCTAGAGTACCTACCTATCAACAAAGAGATGATTGCATCATGCAAAAGAGAATCTTTCCATCATGTCTCAGCTAGTCTAGGCGCAGCGCTTGGATCGAAATATTGAAGAGTGAGTGTTGATAATTGAAGAGGAACGACATGCGATACGTGCACGCAGAGGTGTGCGAGGGAACATAACAAGCATGGTTTACCGAAGGCCAGAGCCAGAGCAGATGACTGAAACGGAGTGGGTGATGATCGCCAGCGTTCCGCACCCAGGAAACCAAGAAGCGCCATGCGACGAAAGACGTGGCAGGGAGGCGAGTCTTGGATCCGGTACATGGTCGTCGGGTGGAGATCGCGATTGACGAGCTGTGATTTGGTTTGCCTGCTGATGCGTTCGTGATGGAAATAGACATTGTGGCGATCGCCCTTTTACATACGTACATGAAAGACATTGTGAGGCATGTAGATCACTGTGGATATGACAAACGGTGAATATGCTATGATCATGGATTTGAACTACTTTCATCATTAATTGAAGCCGCAAAGGATTTCACGATGTTTCGTGAGAGAGATGCAAGAATTCGCAAAGGGAGATTATGTAGGCGGTACAATCTCCGTGTAGCCATCCATTCACACCATCTGAATAACCGCTTTCACGTACATACATATATGTGTTTGAGTTTCAGGAGCAATGGCATTACATGCGGCGCAGACTTTTCCATCGGAAGCAGAGGGCAACCGACAAGGCCAGCACGAGAATACCACGAGGGGGGGGGGAAAACGCAGTCGTGAGAGAAAGAGGAAGGTGGAGGAATCCTTCATTCTGTTGCCTACGCCATGTCTTCCATCAGCAGACTGTGCCGAGGGAGAATGGTCAACGCCCCGTGTAGACCACGATACTTCCTTGTCTCCCATCGTGCTTGTCTAATGTGCCGTCTTCTTACACTTTTGTATGCCGTATATTATATGGGCGGTGTGTGCATCTCACATGCCTGCATGTGAGGGAGGGAGGAAATGCAGTGACACACGAAGGAATCCTTCGATTTCTCGGAGACAGCGAATAAGCAGGAGCGGTGAGCCCCCCGTTAGCATTCAAGCATTTTACCGAGGCGAGAGAACTCTGAAGAAGAAGAAGAGGAAGAAAAAGAAGAAGGAGAAGAAAAATCCTCTGGGAGCGAGCGGCGCAGGAGATTCTAGAAAACTTCTGGTGATTTTTCGCTCCATGGGAAGGATCCTTCCCCCATGTATCTAATTCGGAATCAGAGAGTGAGGGCTTTCTTGTAATGCACGCGTGCTTACGGCATCGTAAAGATGAACAGCTTACATCGAATCAACTGGATTGCGCCACCTGAGTACTTAATCAATGCTGCGTGGTCAAATGAAGCTTATGCTACACTATTGATCCCTTGCATCTCCATGACATATTAGAAACACTACAATTAGAATCTCATCCCCGTCGCCGTTACCATATCTCGAAACCATGGAACGCAATAAAAAATCCTTGGAAGAAGAATGAAAATCGAATGAGGCAGGATGGGGATATTGTGTCATGGTGGGCTTTTCAATCACCCGTCAAGAAAAAGGGTTTCCCCCTCCCCCTCCCTCCAAACACCACTTTTGCTGTGCCGTTCGGTGCCGTTCGACTGCCACGCAGCTGACAGCATCACGCAAGATTGTTTTTGCTGTGCCGTGCCGCTAAAGATCGTAAAAACCATGTGGCATGACGGGCCACGTCCCCAGAGATGGTAACATGTGAAGGGTGAACATGTTTGCAGTGTAGACGAACGAAGGTCCACTATTCACGACGAGCGAATTTCCAGGTTCGTACGAAGGACACGGAACATGGATTTTGGGGGTGGATTTCGTGGCGAGCGCGGACATGGGAGATGATCGATGGCTACAATTTAATCAGAAGTCAATCAAGAAGGTAGGTACATGTTTAAATTAATAATGAGGGTGAGGCTTGCTCCGTAAGTGGTCTTTGCAGCGCGGGAGTAGATGCCGGGCTGTCTCTCCCAAGAATCATCGTACCAACATGACAAGGCAGCAGGATAAACAGAGATGTGAGAGGCTGGAGCGAATTTTAGTGGCACGGCATGAGAAAAGATGGCCCTCCCTAGTCGATGCCGTATCTGTATACCCGCAGCTACTAATGTCCGAGTGATGCGATAGGGTATGATTGGATTGAAACGCGCGGTTGGAAAATGGAGGGTAAAACGGAAGAATAGCTAAGCAGAGGAAGAATCACCCATATCGGATAATGGGGCCTGGCGGTGGGCTGCTTGTAGAATATTGATGGATAAATGTAACCACTCCGTTGGGACCCTTCTGAGCCATACAATCTTGATGAGTGATGCTACATTTTCTACTATCTTTGGGAAGGGTGTGGGAACAAAATCGACGATTAGACGATTGATGATTTTGTCGGCTGCGACCTGCGAGGAGGTGATTGTATCACATCGAAACCCAATAAAAAGAAAACATTTAGCTCTACTTACCGGAGGACCTAATCATTAGTAGAAAGTAAGGAAACCCAAAGGGATAAAAGAAAAAATATACTATTCCATCTAATGCATAACATAATAATTCACTCAGCATCATGCCCAGCCATCAGATAAACATGCTTATGCAAATTCGGACAATAGATTGAGCCGATCTCAACACCGTGTAGAATCGGATGTAGGCACTGCTAGGCACATGAATAACCTGAACAACATGAATATCTTTGAGTAGGTAGTGACAATACATCACATGTATACATCCGACATTGGGACATGTATACTATGCATGCATGGTTTTATATGGCAATGACATGATGACTTACTTACTCATGAGTCGAAATGAAGGGAAAAAAACATGTCCACATTCACTCCCGGAATGAGTTTCTCCAATTTCTCCCTCCCATTCTTCACCTCAAAACTCGCATGATGTTATCCATACGTCAAGACAATAATCGTTCGATTCTCTCTGCGAACGACCCAGCCCACCCATCCACAATCTCGGCGAGGATAACTGTTGGCTCCCCCCGAAAGTAGGTACGATTGCGATACGGTACAGGCTACAGCATCGAGAAGGTACGGAGTAGGTTCCTGAATTTTCGTCCCATATTTGAACGATTAGCCTGTCACCGTCTCCATTCTTCGACAGGAAATTTCTCTCGCAGGCATAAATTGCCATCGCCAAATCAAGGATCCCATAAAATTTCGATTAGCAACTTCCCCATAATCTCGCTCTTCGCTCTTTTCTCTGATTGGCTGCTCGTCCATAACATGACGCTCCGTGATTTCGCACCAATAATGAACCATTCTTTTTCTAGGATTGATACGAATCACGGCATATCCGAACCCCTCATCGGTAGTGCAGTGCAGATTGCACAGTCTTGGGTTACACTTTGCAGCCTCAATGACGCTAGACTACCCTCGAATCCAGCTTACAACTGTCGTCTCCCCCTCTCCATCTGCCTCACGATCCGCATGGAGCAAAAAGGAAAAACGTGGGATCATCTATTCAATTTCCCGCTTGTGGAAAATTTTAACGAGTGGCCTGTGGGATGCCGGTATGATTTTGGCATTTTGGGGCTAACAAGCGATGTGCGTATCAGAATCTAGACTTTTGACTCCTTGGAGTCCTACCCACCGACCTTCACTCCACGTAGAGAGCTCGGATATTCTTCCGCTCCCCAGGGCTTTTCTTCTTCTTCGTCTATTCACCCCCAGTTGTGTAACCCCTTGTCGAAACCTAAATAAATCAGAGAGTCCCAATGATATCCATGTTAATTACCCTTCAATTAATAAAAAAATACCCAGGTGTGGTTTAAAGCTGACCCAAGGTGTTGGTAACACCTAACCGACCTGCCTTTCTCGGCTTTGATCGCACAAAGTTCGTACTTTTTCGTGCAACGGCCGGTAATGAGACCCCCCCCTTCGATCTGCACCACTTGTTGTTTACCCATTGTCTGGGTCTGTTATAGGTATTGGAAATTTGGGGACTATCTTTAGATTTTGGCATGACACGCAAATGGGGATTCTGAAGATTCCAAGCTGACAGGCTTGCCGTTTGCTCGTAATTGGACCAATCAAATCTGCTCAAGTATGTATCATCTCTTAGGCGAGTGGCATTGACTCCCGCTAGGCAGCTTATGGTAATATATCGTTCTCGAAAATCCCGAGACAAGATGACCTTTCGTGACGTTGGATGTGTGCGGCACATGGATGCCAAGAGTCCCTCAGCCAGAAGGAATGTAATGCTAGTCCTTGTGGAAGGCCGACCAGACTGTTCTTTCGTGCTGTGCCCAATCTCATTCGTTCAATTCGATTTGAGCCCCAAAGAAAGTAAGCCCAAAGGCATGGAACTTGTTGGATATGGAAACTTCTGTGGAAGGTAAGTATTACTTGGGTGCTTGAGGAGAATTTTACGTACTGAAGGAAGATTGCTACATGTTCAAGCCTTCTTAGTGTTCCTGCTCGATATTGGCATTAATATTGGTTTTGTCATGAGAAAAATCACATGGTTCACTCTTCACTCCACTCTGATGTACCGCAACTCAATTACAACGGTATTTCCCAAACCCCTCCCGGGTTATTCGGCAAGCACGTCCGACGGCATTGTGACTGGCCTTATCGTGGACTTCGTGGCACCCATGAAGGGCCATTTCCCACCCCTGGAGCCTTGGCACCAGACCCGAGCTGCTTCTCCATATTATCTGCAGTGAGGAGTGTAGATAATTTTGGTTGGTCCCAAATCTCGGCGCTTGTCCCTGCAGACAAGAGGCACAGTCGGGTCATCCTACCAGTTCTTTGGATATCAGTTTCGGTATATTCCTTTGACATGGATGGACTGGATCATTTTCAGAACAGAGCATACTTCTTGCTGACCGCGCTTAGCCGTTGGAGTAAAATTGCCATCGTTGGCTTCATGGATTCTTGCGGGAATACCACGCTTTACACCAAACGAGTCGTTGGAATTTCCACGGAGGTCGTGTCCCAGGATAAGATTGAAGATTACCCGAAGAGGCCAAAGTTGCGAGGAGGCCACAAGCAATATGGGGAGGGGGTCATGCTGCGGCCCGTTTGCGGCACTGTAGAGATATGCACTCGGATCCGAATCCGGAAATATGAGATATGCGACTCGTCCGGCTCTTGGGAGAGGAAAAGAAAAGAAATTGTTTATATCAACAAGGGACATGTACCGAAATGAAATGCTGTAGTTGCTTTTTTCCCATCGACGAATCGATCTTGGCATCTTTTCACCGTTGGCGTCTTTTAGCATTTAGTGGCTTGAGATGATCCTGAGAAACCCCTGAAGCGCGGCTCTTTTTTGCATCTCACGCTTGCATCTTCTTGTTCTTTTGCTCGCTTCTACTCATGATTGACATTTCAACATTTTTCATGATCAGCCGGGAGCTAATGGATGTGATGTTTGAGGCTTTGAGCACATAGGTGGATCAGTCAAACGTTCTTTTTTTCTTTCTCGTTTGCTTGTACATAGAATCCAGATTCCAGACAAGTTTTACCAAGTAAATTAAACCTAAACGAGTTGGAGGCCGCCGGAGCACGTCCCTGATGAGGGCAAAGGGCATCATCACCTGCATAATTCCAGGTTATCGAAGCGTTACCTTGGGAAGCAAGATATTGTTTTAAATGTTTGAGACGAGATTTGTTGTCAAAGTTCAAACGGAACATGTGAGTCAAATGTCGTGGCCTTTTTTCTCATCATCACATAGGTGGTCATATACGACCGCAGAGATACGGTAGATGGGATGTACGCTGTATATTGATCATGAGAGGAAGGGCTTGACTTGGACTGCTCAGCGATGATCTTTTCACCATGTCTTTGGTAGATCCTACTTACCCGTGCCTATCATTATGCAGCACTGTTTTATACGAACATTTTGCAAGATTCATTTCGGAAGCATGATGACCGGTGATTACTCATGTGTGTTACAAGACAATCAATACAATGAGTGGAATGGGTGGAATGGGTGGATAGAAGAGGAAAAGGTTGTGCAATGACGACAAAAAGCGGGCGGTCGGCGACCAATGTCATTTGTAGGACCCTGAGTGAGAGTGTGAACAAGCTCGGTAGTCACATAAATTCAATCAGCAGAGTAGCATACCGGTTATCAGTATTTTGTAGCGAGTGGAGATGTATTGATTGTGTTGTATTTATTGTATTTATTGTATTTATTGTATTTATTGTATTTATTGTATTTATTGTATTTATTGTATTTATTGTATTTATTGTATTTATTGTATTTATTGTATTTATTGTATTTATTGTATTTATTGTATTTATTGTATTTCTTGTACTTATTGTATTATTGTTTTTTTGTTTTCTTGTCTTATTTTGTTTTATTGTATTTATTGTATTTTGTCTTTATTGTTTTTATTGTTTTTGTATTTTGTTTTCTTGTCTTTCTTGTATTTCTTGTCTTTCTTGTCTTTCTTGTCTTTCTTGTCTTCTATGTCTTTATTGTCTTTATGTCTTGTATTGTCTTTCTTGTCTTTTTGTCTTGCTTCTGTTTTTCTGTCTTCGTGATTTCATTGCATTGTCCTGTGCAATCAGACTACCCAGGCATGTGTGAGGAAGAGGAGCCTTCCTCCTTTCGCCTCCGTGTGAGAAGGTATGGAACCCTCGTCAGAGTGAAGACTGATTCTGATGGAATTTTCAACCCATTCTCGGAAGTTCGAAATGATGATAATTCCGGATCCATCTCTATTTCCCAATAGGCACTCGGGACCGAGCGTTGTAAGTACCGAGGGAACGGCACGGAGGTTGGCGATGAATCTGAGGGGATTTATCGCAGCTTGCCAGCTCTTACGTTGGACATTCGCAAATTGCAAATTGCAAATTGCAAATTGTATGGTGGTGGTGGTGGTGGTGGTGGGGGTGGTGGGTGGTATGGATAATGGATGTTATACGTCGTATAGAACCAACCCTTCTAGTCGTTGGTGGATTCGTCAGTCAGGCAAACCTGCAGGTGGTACGATTAGAGAATGATTACCAATTCCAACACAGCAGCATCCCGTACGATATTACCCAACTTGGCTAAGGGGGTAATCATGCTTGTTCCCACCCAGATCCTTCCTTTTTTAGAGACACATTGTATTATTGTTTAACGATATTGAAGAAATCCCAACCGCGAGAAATAAGCAAAGAGGTCCCCTGATGTTCGCCCAAAGAAGTCAAACGTTTCATCTAGGTTTCCTTTTTCACACTCATTGAGCCATGGCTGTATGACCATCAAAAAGAGCCAATGAGCATGTTGTAACATTAGAAGTGGTAGTACGGAGTAGAGATAGATGGCGAGATGGCTGGATAGAGAGATAGAGAGAGAGCATACATCTATCTTAACCATGTACCTACTACGACAGGCCCAGAACATTTCACATCTTATTACCGCACCAACCTACCTAGGTAGGCATCCAGCACGCCTTCGGCAAGCACATAGATCTAGGGATGCAATGGCCGTAAGAATTCTTGGTATCCCGATTTCCCATATCATCGAAGGTCGGGTAGAAGCATTATATGGAGACATGAGGCGACGGGGATGTGGATTGCGTTTCCCCCATGAACCTGACTGAATGGTTGCTCTGAGCACCTGCGCAAGCACTAATTTCGCATTCGCTTGCACTTCCACTTCCACTTTCTACCGGATTTTTGCAAATGATGCTGCGAAAGTGGAAAGTGGAAGGTGGAAACCGATGAAGATGAAGATGGAGATGGAGATGGAGATGGAGATTGAACATTGACAAACTCAAAAATTTATGGGGACGGACGGCAGTGGGAATGGCAGCTGGGTACTTGCAGCTTTTTCTGGAGCCCTGTACGAACACACCAATGACCGGCCAGAATTAATATTCTGTGTATAATTATTTGGTACAGTATATCGTATTACTAATCTACTCGTTGAACTCGTTGATCATGATGGAAGATCCCTTTCGAAACGAGAAGGATGTTGTCTGCTGCGTACTCCATACATCAACCACGGCAAAACTGTAATGATGCCGGCCGGTATCGAGGTATGATTTGGGGGACGATGAGCACAGGACCATATCACAGTACGTCTGCGTTCACACAATGGATGATGTACTTCCATATCAGGGTTCCCTGCGTATATCGGCCGGTATTTGATACTAGTTGATGACAAAGTGTGTCAGACCTCTTACTATTTTAGAAGTCCAATGTGTATCGGACTATCAAGTGTGCAGGCTACTGACTACAACAAAGTTTAAGAGGGTGCCGGCGTCAGTAGGTTTAATTATGTCGTTCACGGCTTGCTAGACGGCACTAAATGAGTCAAACTTCATTCTAATAGCCGACACACCAGTAGGTAACTTGTGCATGTTTGAATAATTCCAAGCTACAGAGGAGATGCCAATCATTACAGTTGACATAAGACGCTAAACGATCTTATCAGTTTCTGGGCGAGCAATGGGCGATGGGCGATGAGCGATGGACAGTGGATGTACCGGTAGACAGACCATGATGCTATGAACCATGTGAATGAATACCGGTAGACAACAATACGGAAGACAGGTTCCTTTTTCAGAGATCTTTATACATCCGGCTCTTACTCGTGATGTGAGGAGATCAAGTCAACTGTTTCTTAATGTGAGCAAGTCTATTTTAGTATCATTGTACATATATGATACTATATGATACTACTTACTACTTACTACTTTCTATCGGTATGTAAATATACCAAAAAAGGATATGTAAAATATAGACAGATAGATACCTCCCACCCGGCTAGGATGCATAATCAAATACCTAGCTACCTGGTCAAACCTTCATCCCTGATCGGTCTTTATTAAATCAATATTCGTATTTTCTCTTTTGTATTCCTTTTTGCGAGCTGGCCTCTCACTCTCATACCTTGCTCTGCCACGCTTTATTCCTTGTCGTGAAATACTGTACCCATCCCCCGGTTAAGCCCCCTCCCCAAATTGAATACTACTCTATCTCAGATTTCTCTAAAGAAGCTTGGTGCAGAACATGGCACTGTGGTGGCACCAAATGACAATAAAGTTTGATATTTTATTTTTTTTGGCCATATTCATACCTACCGGTACTAGATGGCTCGAGATGGGTAGACTGACGGCGTGGTAGCCAACCAGGCCTAGGTAGGTAGGTCTTCACATTCATATTCAGCAGACTCAGATCCGTATAAAGTCAATCTGAATTGAGGGCTCCAGTCGGCAGTGAGCTAGTCCTCATGCTATGTAGTATCCCTAGACCAGTACCACCTATTATTTGATAGACCCAGGGGGCTTTTTTATCTATTTATTTATTTATTTTAGCAATTTATTTATTTATTTATTTATTTATTTATTTATTTATTTATTTATTTATTTATTTATTTATTTATTTATTTATTTATTTATTTATTTATTTATTTATTTATTTATTTATTTATTTATTTATTTATTTATTTATTTATTTATTTATTTATCATTTTCCTATTTCACTCTTATACTCTCCGACCACTCTAACCATTTCACATCGTCTCTGAGCCGCCACGGATCCATGGATCCATCCCTAGTTCCCTCGTTCCATAGATCCCATTCCGATCATTGATCCATCGATCATTGTTCAGTGTTCACTTCTCATACCCCACAAGTTCGACCTTTTGCACCGTCGTTTTCTCGCCCTCTACCTTAATTAATCCTTTCGCCTCTCGACCCATGTTTCCTTATGCCGAAGCGCGAAAGTGGACGAATGAGATATTATTGTTTCCAAATTTGATCAAACGGGCTGTCTGGATGTGGGCACGACGATGAATGTGGATAGGGATGGATATGGATTGTGATCTCGGACTAGGAAAAGTAGCTCGATGGTTGAGAAGTTATTCGAACACGCTACCAACTACCACACTACCATGCACACTACCATCCATACTACTCGTAGCATGCTGGTAATTTCTGACTCCTCCCTCACCCGATTACCGGTACTAGAGCATTGAGTTACTAAGGACTTAATTACTACTCGAAATACTCCGTCCGTACTAGACTCTACTCTGCTCTGCTCTACTCTACTCTACTCTACTCTACTCTACTCTACTACTCACTCCTCACTCCTCACTCCTCACTCACTCCTCACTCACGCCTCACTCACGCCTCACTCCCACCACACAAACCCCTCCCCAAGATCCAAGGGAGAGAAAAAAATAAAATCAAAAAGCTTGGATTCGATGTGATGCTGAGATTTAAGGGATTTCTAGATCGATTCAGTCCTAGTCTCCTACTCCTCTTTAGTCTCCTCTAGTCTCCTCTAGTCTCCTCTAGTCTCCTCTAGTCTTCTTTAGTCCCTTCTTGGTCTCTTCCTTTAAATCTACGAAGCAGATAATCTTTCATTATCACATACATATATTCACAATCCACCTTTTCTCCACGCCAAAAATTAAAATAAAATACCAACACCTTCGTCGCCTTTTCGACCTTCCTCCTTCACTTCTTTCCACTCCACTCCACTCCACATATACATATAACATATAAAGGCCCGCTCTTCAAACAAGCCCTTGTTTGATTCTAACCGGTTTTCTGAACTGCATGTTCCTTCTGCAATTACCAGGTTTAAAATCCTTGACTCCATCTTTTTAACGCTTGCTCTACATCTATCCATCCATCCTACTTCAAATACCACCCGTCTACTACCGCACTACCACTCCTATCCTACGACTAAGCACACTTCGACCAGCCTTGCACGAGCTTTTGCTTCCAGAATAATGGGTTTGTCCGAACTTGTGGTCACAGCATGAGCCACACTTTCAATTTTCCATTACCGACAGGATTCTTTGATACCAATATACCTATCACATCTCAACTCCCAATTCGGGTCCTCCTCGTGTCATTGTTACATTGTACTTCCTCACTCTACTCACGATTCATTCCAATCACCGTTCCTGCCTTTCCAATTAAGCCTGGCGGTACTTCGCTGCGACTGCCGTTTTTGAAAACAGCTCAACTACCCTTACTCGAGGTCAGCTGAATTGGTTCAGTATCGAAGCAATTACAGCATCCTGATATATTTGACACAAACCGTGTCTGTGCCACATTGCTACCTTTAAGGGAAGGATCTATACCGCCCTTGTACAAATCTTAGAGACCAACCATATACCCTCGTCTATTCCCAAGCTTGAGTATACACCCTCAAGAATGATATTCTCCCAACCGCCCACCTCACCTTTCCACGAACTGGTAAACACAACCAAGGATTGCTCCCCCCTTCACAACACTTCTGAGCAGCGAGTAAACGTTTTGCGCGAGAGAAGTGACAATAATACTTCACTATCACGGTCCCCTGTTTCTGAACTCAAAGGACCTTTCGACCACGGAAGGAGAGGTGACATGTACCAACCAGCCCATAGTGCAGCTCCTCGAGAGCAACTCCCATCAATAACCAGTCTTTTTGGCGGCGCACCACCTCCAAGTAGACCTGCGCAATCACCATACTCTGAGAGACAGAGTCCAATCTTTCCATCTTCATCCCCTCAAGATGGCCGTCTACCTACTACACCTTTACATCAAGACCGCCCATTTGATGCAAACTTTCAGCGTTCAGCACCACGACAGTATACACACGCCTCTCGACCAGATTCGCTCGATAGGCTAGGTTATCCTGCTCCATCTACCCGTCCCAACGTGGGATCTATGCCCGAATCTCCTCGATACGCACCCCAATACTCGAATCATGACCCACGACAAGGTCAAATGCCTTCGGGCAACAACTGGTCACCTCACTCCGAATCTCCTCGACAAGATCAGTTTCCAGCTTTGAGAGCTCATCCTGATCAATACCGACACCAACATCAAGTCTCTAGATCTGAACACGAGACAAGACAGTTCTACCGTGATCATGCCCCCGCTCAACGAAACTACCTTCCCACACCTGCCGGTACTGTAATGGGCGAGCCTGTGACGGTCAAGGATGGTCTGGGACCCAAGATCTGGACAGGAACTCAATTTTTACCTCGTTTCGTCAGACAAGCCGACGTTGCGGGTGAAGGGATGTGCTATTTCTACGACGATGGAACTCACTGCAAGACAGTCATTGATGGGGAAAATGTAAATGCTCATTGGGGAGTCACCAAAGCGGGGAAGCCAAGAAAGAGACTTGCAATTGCGTGCATCACTTGTAGGGAGAAGAAGATTAAATGCGATCCAGACTACCCTAGGTGTGTGCAATGCGACAAGTTTGGCAGGGTGTGCAAGTTCAAGAATGCGTAAGTTAGCATAATCAAAGTGACATTTATGTCATTTATGCAGACATAATTCTGCCTCATAATTTGTCCCGCTTTTGCTGATGGTAGTCTTTCAACAGTCCCCGAGGAGGTCACAACTCCCCAGATACGCCTCCAGCTGACTCGGAAGATAGCCTACCTAGGCCAGGTTCTTCTTTGACTGACGGTGAATCTTTCAGAGTCGAGGAACGTGAAGGGAGCCATTCAGTCTCGCCGCGACAAAACTTACGCCGAGCAAGCCCGGAAGTAGAGCAGCACACCAAGAGACAGCGCAACGGCTATAATGATTACACTCCGGTAGCATCAGAAGCTTCACCACGACTTTCTGTTCAAGACGCAACATCCCCAAGAGCTGCGTGGGCTGAGCCAGAGAGTAATCGATTAAGTGATCATACCTTACAGACAGAGTGGCAAAATGACCCGTTCCACTCTGCAAACACAGATCTCGCCAACGAGCTCTTGACTGTTTTCTTCAAACATGTTCCAGAGACAGCCTATTTCATGTTCCCAAAAAATCAATTCAAAATCTGGGCTCGTTCTACCAAGGATAAGTCCTTAAATGACCTCACGCTCATTTATTCCATACTTGCCCTTGGAGCCGTATTCTCACCTCGATCTCAACACAAGCATCTGGCTGCACGATATGCTGAAGTCGCCAGATATGCATGCGACCGGCGCCACATCGGTATTCAATTAGTTCAGGCTCGTTTGTTGTTGGCTTTATACTATTTTGCAATCAACAACCCCAACGATTCATGGGATTTCTGTGGGTCCGCTGTGAGGGCTGCCACTGGCTTGAAGTTGAATATAGAGATAGAGAAGAGTGACGATGCTTACCGCAAGAGTTTTCCCTTCGGGCTCAACTTCAGCGGATACGCGGAGTGCAGAAGACGCACCTTTTGGAGTTGTTATCTTATGGATAGATTCAATGGATTCGGCTCTGGGCATCTGAGCATGATTGACCCAAAACACGTATACCTTCGCCTACCTTGCGATGAGGAGAGCTTCGAAAACCAAGTCAATGTTCAAAATCCTCTTTTTGAGGTTTCAAACCCGCGATCCCTAGACTATCCACGGACTTTGAACTTAATGGCATACGTAATAAACGTGGCAACGATTTGGGGTGATGTTATGTCCAACATATACAGCAATTCACAACGACCACAACCAATAAGGAGCTCTGATTTCAATGAGTTCTATCGATCTACCATGGATCGTCTCTCAAGTTGGAAAAGCACACTGCCAAACCGCTTTGCTATCCCAGCGGAATCAATGGGAAGAATGTCCGATGGTGGAGAACTGGGCACCTACATAACGATGCATGCACTGTATCACACAACATTCATGAAGCTCCATCGATATGTTCAACCTTACAACCTTGACGAGTCACAGCATTCTCGTTACATTTCTATAGCCGAGGAGCAAGCGAAGAAGTTTTTGAAAATCATGGATATTGTAGCTAATCGTCGTGAATCTACCGGCATGAGATCGCCAAGCTCAAATACTTCCATCGAATTCTCCTCACCCTTTGTGGGATATGCTATTCTCTCTGCAGTCGACATTCTCTCGGCTAAAACACATAAAGCTTCAATACTCTCCATCATCGACTCCTTCTCTGGTGCACGATCAGTTATTGCCGAGATTGCACAGTTTTGGCAGATGGCAAGGATACAGGAAGCACTCATCTCGGGACGCGTGGGTGACTTGATTGAAATCGATCGCAGGAGCTGGTCGGCTTCTGCCAAACAATCAAGCGCTGGATTTTTTCAGATGAGTGAACCATTGGAGAAAACTTTCTCTCGTGAAAACGATGGCATTTATTCAAAAGTATAAATGCATTTTAAGGGTTGTTCTTGTACATTATTACATTTTTATTATATTGATGACGGGTCCTCTAGAGGAGAATGGAATGATACCAAGAGGCGTTTGGGATTGCTATGCATTTGCATTTTGCATTTTGGATGATTATGAGAGCATCTTGCATAGCGAGGCAGCGGCATAGGTATGGAATACAGTACATACCGGATTCTTAGTTCTCAATCAATTTACATCAATGACATTTTATTTATCACCTTGGAAATCTGTTTTATTTTGTTCCAATAGTCAAACTATGGATTGTGTATACATAAACTACAAACATGTTCTACATTTACCAGCTCTTCAACATGACCACTGTGACAAACTGACAACACATTGTACCCTGCACTAACACGCCTCAACATCTAGGAACTCATCTTCACCACTACAAGTAATAGTCTCACAGAGCATCTGATCCCTCCACCACCGCCTCAAACACCTTCACTCCCTTCTTCAAACATTTAACCGTCCAAACCCGAGCACACCCCCATCCTTCTCCAACTCAATCTGTTCAAAATCGACGATCTTTCAATGTGGAGAGCCAACTTCCCTAGCACCCCACAAACCCACAAATCACCTAGACTATCTACACCACTATAGGCACCACTGCCACACCACTACGTCCGTACATCGAGTTTCACAACCGTGTCTATACGCTTTACGTCAAGATCGACCGACTCTGACATTCGCCGGTGGAATAAATGCAGTGGGTGAGCTAAGGCACACGGCGGAAACGAAATAATCTCCTAGGTCGGGAGTTCTCAGGCTTCTGGGAATGCCGAGCTGGGTCTGGGATATGCAGGAGCCGCTCGGCAGCTGACGGGTCTAACTGCTTCGGGAGAGCGGAAGCGATGCACATCGCTCGTATGTAGGTACTTAGAGTTTTTGGGTGGGTGCGAGGTGTTTTGGGTTAGTGAGGGTGGGGATGCTTGGTTAGTGTGTACCGGTGGGCTGGGATTTTTCTGAGGGAAGGGGACACGTAGAGAGACTACAGAGGGCTTGTTTGTTTGGGATGGGGGGTGGGTATGGATCTGGGATTGGGGCGGCGCAGATGACTCGGTAGTGGTGCCGACGCTTAGGCGGTAGATGAGGAGCTAAGAGTTAGGGGATCGGAGTTGGGAGGGAGGCCGGAGTTTTGACGTGGGCTTTTAGACGAGGAAGGCGAGGGGGAACTGGATTGGGATGGTCAGTCGGGTAGATAAGAGAGGAGGAGCTAAGATAGGGAGTTGGCTTTGGTGGTGGTCTTGGTCTTGGACTCTTGGTCTTGGTTTTTGGTCTTGGTTTTTGGTCTTGGTTCGGTGGGTATTGACTCTTGAGGCGGGAGTTAGGATGGAACTAGAGGTGAGGAGTAGCGCACCATAGACACGAAGAAGTGGCTTATGTGCCGATCAGGTGATGCTAGAAAACGGACTTGTCGATGATTGCCGGATGTGCGAAGGGGAAACCCCCAGAGGTTCGAGCTCTCAATTAAGGTGATGAAGGAAGTTGTGGTGAGGGAAACATCGGTGTTCAAAGTTGATGCACCGAATGGCAACAATCGGTAATCATATTGCACCGAATATCTATCACCGCACAGGTGAAGAACACGATTCAATCCTTTCTTTCGTGGTGGTCTTGAACGGGAATCACTCGTTTTGACTTTCATGTGCGGTGTAATAGATAGAATCTCGGGAGAATGTTTGTTACCTACTCGATGAAAGTCTAATTTCAGAGACCCTTGCTATATTCAAAAGTCTATAAAAATATTTTGTCTAAATTAAAGGCAAAATATAAGACATCAATTCTAGCAGTTCAGTAATTTATCCATGGATGTCGTTGTGTCTACTAAAGCCTTGAATATGAGGCATCAAAATGGAAAGTTTTGGCGGTGAGAAATGGGTTGGCAGAATGAGCTTGGAGTATCAGAATTTCTTATGATGCTTTAATGATGTGTGATGATAGTATTGAATCTTTTTGTGTATGACCTAAGGACTTTATATCTTAATCCACAATGATGCGATGAAGCTTCTACAACCAGAATGGAATTTCCTTCCAAGCCTTTGACGCAACTTACTGGATCCAATGGTGTGTATAATCTTCGCATCTATGAGGGAAGTACCAAAACTAATTCGTTGCCCAAGGACCGGTTCACGCATTAACATACTCATCTTCTCCCTCACTGTATATCTTAACGGGATCCGCCGACCGCAATATCCGATTGTATAATCCTTCGCGATCCGCAGCTTCTTCGCAATCTCTCGCTCCTCATCAACCTCCTAAACCTAGCCAATTGATCCAAACTTATTCAGCGCATGGCTACGAAGTTCTGTCCATAGCCGTCGCGTCAACAAACGCTACGTTCGCGTCGTGCGGCGGGGACCGTAGCGTATTTCTCTGGGATGTTCAGACAGCGAAGACGATTCGGAAGTTTGGGGGAAATAATGGACATACATCTCGGGTGAATAGTGTGGTATTTGCGGGAAGCGAGGAGAGCTTGTTGGTTAGTGGAGGGTTTGATCGGAGTGTGAGGATTTGGGATATTAGAGCGGGGAGCATGAAGCCGGTGATGGTTATGGAGGATGCGAGGGATAGTGTTAGTGTTGTTTTGGCGGGGAAGGGAGGGGATGAGGGGTATGGGGGTGGGGAGTATGAGATTGTTAGTGGGAGTGTGGATGAGAGGGTTAGGTGGTATGATATTAGGGCTGGGACGTTGGAGACTGATGTTATTGGGCGGAGTGTGACGAGTTTGATGAGGACGAGGGATGGGAGAGGTGTTTTGGTGGGGAGCTTGGATGGGTGTGTTCGGCTGATGGATAGGGAGAGTGGAGGATGTCTGAAGACTTATAAGGATGAGGGATTTAAGAATGAGGAATTCAGAGTCAGGAGTTGCTTTGGGGGTAATGAGAAGTGGGTGTTATCGGGGAATGAGAATGTTAAGGGAGCAGATGGTGAAGTCGTGGTCTGGGAAACCTTGACTGGAAATGTTTTGCATAGGATCAAAGTTGAAGGTTCGGAAGTCGAAGGCAAGAAAAAGATTGGTCGGGATGGTAAAGAGAAAGAACGTACGAACGTTATCAGTGCCATCGCCTGGAAAGAGAATGGCAAAGGAGACCAATGGTGTTGTGCTGGTACTGATGGGATAGTCACAGTTTTTGGACCGTCATGAGCGCAAGATTCGTTGATTGAACTGTGATATTTGACCCTTGTCTATATGGGCAATTCAGAAGTACTTTTCAAAATGCTGCCACCTACACAGGCTCTAAGATGAAGTCTGCCGCCAAGCTCAATGCATACTTTCCTCCCCGGAAAAAACAAACATTCCTTAGCAAAGCAGTACACTTGGTCGGCCAAGAATTTCAGCAGCGTAAGTCAAGTGTGGTTTGCTTTAAGCCCAGCGGCTTATTGGGAAGAGACATATATTTGTTCTCCTCCGTTGTCAAAGTTAGAGCATGGCTCCAGTTTATTGACAGCGAAGTGTTTACATGACAAATTGTAAGGCTTTCGCATACAGCACATTGGATGTGACATTTCACTGCATCAATAACCTCCGATGCATGCAAACCGGTAGTCACGACGCAGAATTGCTTTAGTGGCGGAATCATCCGAACCATCCGATAAGCACCTGCGGGGAACATTCGATAACGACAACACATCTGTGGCGCGGGGTGGAGGCAATAACTGCATTTTTCATCAATCTCATATACCAATAGATATTCAGTTAATATTCCATATACCATTTTGTATGATACCCAGTGCTCTCCAAGACAATTGAAGCCTCATATTCACAGATGCCTTACCCAAACGTCTTTCACCTTCCAGGGGAAGATATATCACCTTCCACAGACATCAAACCAGCATCCATATCCCAACCTCTCATCAATAGTATTCCACCTGATCTTCTTCCCCGGTTTGACCCCGTCTACGCAAAATATTATGCCCATTACTCGGCGGGACGATTGGCTACTCATCAAATTCCAATCAAGGAGTTTAGGGCTAATCCTCGCAAATACAGCATCGTATACGGACGTGCTATAGCACCTGACGTACATTCTATCACCGATGTTCAATGTCCAGTCACGCCGTCTAGCGATGGGAAGAACAGCATCACAGTGAGGATTTTTGAACCAGCTCCAACTGTTAATGAAGGGAAACCAAGACCCGCGTATATCAATTTTCACGGTGGGGGATGGGTCTTTGGGGGCTTGGAAACGGATATGGAGTTTTGTAAGAGATTGGTTGGGGAATTGGGTTGTGTGGTTTTTGATGTGGATTATAGGCTGGCGCCGGAATATCAATGGCCTATTCCGGTAGATGATTGTATTGAGGCTTTTAAATGGATTGAATCGGATGAGATGGTTCAGAAGCGAAATTTGGATAGGAAGAGGTTTGCGGTAGGAGGGATAAGTGCGGGTGGTATGTTGGCGGCGGTTGTGAGCCATGCTTGTAGGGATGAGGGAATGCCCTTGAGTTTTCAATTGTTGGGCGTGCCAGCGGTGGATTTGGATGTATATGGAGTGGATGGAAAATTGATGGAGGAGGGATGGGATCGGTACCCTAGTTATAGGGAGATGGAATTTACGGTGCCGTTGCCGGTGGCTAGGATGGAATATTTTGCGGCACAGTTTCTGGGAGAAGAGAGGGATCGGGATACTTATAATGCAAGTTTTCGTTACCCCTTAATGATTTACATATTAACGAGTGAATGATAGAATTGGAAAGTCTCCCCTATACTAGCGACCAACTTTGAGGGGCTTGCACCGGCTCTCATTATGACGGCGGAGATGGACCCTCTGAGAGATGAAGGTAAAGCTTACGGGGAAAAGATGATTGCGGCAGGTTCTCACGCCGAAGTTATTTGTATGAAGGGAATGCCGCGTAAGTACAATCGGTTCCTTTCGCGCACCCCTGATTTTCACTGTCTGCATATTTCTCTTTTGTATCTCTTTTACTTCCAATGGAGTTTTACTTTGGTATTCAACTACACACATGGAAAGCACTAATGATTGATCGTTCTAGATACTTTTATGATGATGGATGATATTCTCGAGAATGGTAAGAGGTACAATCGTGAAGCCATTCAAGCTTTGGCTACTGTGTGGGGGATCGCTATTAAATAAGGCTGGATTGGAGTCGTTAAGATTGATGGATGCGGAGTTCGAAAGAACAATCAATTGGTTGCACATCATAATGGCGTCTTTCTGCGGTTCATCGTTTGCAGATACTTGTACATTACGAATAGACAGGGTTAGATAGAGCAATTACCAGACAGCACCTTTATCGAAAGTGACGATCGAGAAACTCGGGGTTTAGACAACATTTGCTTTTGAAAGAAAGATCCTGAGTTGACATGTTGGGTTTGATGGCTGATTTTTCAAGTCTCTTTTGACACATTTTAAAGCGTATAAGTTAGAGTTCAGGAATTATACTTACGAGTATATAAAAGGGGATTGATATGAGCAGGAGCATCTCTCTTTATTGCCCCAATGTTGCCTCTCTCTCCACCTTTAAGCTTCGGCCGAGTAACGGAATAAGGGGGCGGTCTTTCGGAAAAGCTTATCGGTTCGGTGTAACTAATCATAGTGGGAACTCCTAGAGCTTGCTTTGTAAACTCCAGTGGATTCACTGATACGTTATCAGTAAGCAAATATCGATACGGAGTAAGTAGGTATCTAGGTAGATAGAATTCGAATGTATGTTCATTTTCCTTTTCTTCATAGATAGTATCTCATTATCTGTTGTGAGTGTTGATTTTTGTCAATTGTGAATACTTGCATCTTTATTCATCACAAATATCCAAAATGGCGAACAATGAAATGGAAACCCCGGAATTCCTTCTCGCGAATGGAATCAAGAGCATGCATCACGAACATGAAGATGCCAAACCACCTTTAGATTTAAGCCATCATTTTTCCCGCGTAACGGTGGCTCGTCAGCAGAGCGCCGTGAAAAGTTTCTACAAGTTCTTCCAGATCCCCGGAATCGGAAATTTGGCTGGAGGTAAGCTTCACTCAAGCCGGCGTTCGCCACGCTACAACGTTCCACTAGCAGCAGCAGCTAGATACTGCACGTCGACCAATGTGTTAATCGATTGTCTCAGGTCTTCCCAACGCGGCCTTTTTCCCCTACGATACGCTGGAAGCCCAGATTGCACAGCCGGAAAGATTCACCCCCAGTCCGAATGAAGCTCGTGGGGCGGACGAGCTTTCGCCAAAGCTCGCGGCGACGACGATCAAAAAGTCGGCGACGGATGCGTCGAGACATTTGTTGATTCCCCATTTGTCGACGACGCCGAATCCGCTGCAGAAAATTGATCTCACGACGGCGTTGCAGTATGGACAGGCGCAGGGATATCCACCGCTGTATTCTTTTGTGCGACAGTTTGCGCGCGAGAACCTGCATCCGAATATTCCTTACAAGGGCGGGGCGGAGATTCTCTTGACGTGTGGATCGACGGATGGGTTTTCAAAGGCGATTGAGGCGTTGAGTGATGTTTGGAGTGAGGAGAGAGATTGGGTGAGAGAGAGGCCCGGGATACTTTGTGAAGAGTTCGCTTATATGACGGCGGTTCAGGCTTGTAGACCAAGTTAGTATATGCAAGGCGCAGAAATGGAGAGATTGTAAGAGTACTAATATAGTTTTTAGGAGGAATACAGGTTGTTCCGGTCAAGATTGATCTCGAAGGAATGATCCCGACGGGCCCTGGTAGTCTCGAAGATGTACTCGAGAACTGGGATGATTCGAAGGGTAGAAGACCTCATATGATGTATACCATCACGTAAGTATCGTCCTACCTTTCTTATTGTTATCAATACTCACTGTGTAAAATAGCATTGGCCAGAACCCCACCAGCGGTACGCTGTCAATTCCAAGACGCAAAGAACTTTACGCCATCTGCAGTAAATATGATGTAATGATCATTGAAGATGATCCATATTGGTACCTCCAATTTCCGTCCGCCGCAGGGCTGCAAGCAGAAGCTCGCAATGAGACTTTACCCGAGCCAGAAGCAGTGCACACGTTCAAAAACTCCACCGGGTACGCATATCTTGATAGTCTCGTCCCATCATACCTAAATTTCGATTACGATGGACGCGTGATCCGTCTCGATACATTTTCGAAAACGGTAGCGCCGGGCTGTCGTCTAGGTTGGATAACGGCACAGCCAGCGGTTGTCGAGCGTCTTTTGCGAATCACCGAATGCACCACTTCACCACCATCTGGCTTCGTTCAGGCAATGATCGCGGAATTGGTTATGGGTCCTCAAGCTGCTTCTGCCGAGTTTAGCAAGAAATCCCGAAACGAACAACTCGCATTCACAGGGTGGAAGACTGACGGCTGGGTACGTTGGTTAGAGGGCTTGAGAGGCACATACGAACGCCGGATGAATAGAATGTGTGCAGCCCTCGAAGATGGTCGCTACTACGTCAAACAAGGCACTTCCAAGGCCATCTCCGATTCCGAATGGGCGGTCATCACCAAGACGAAGATGTATTCTTTCGACTGGCCGCGCGGTGGAATGTTCGTGTGGATTCATATGCATTTTGATACTCATCCACTGGCCAAACAAGTCCCTGGGGCCAAACTGGCGAAAGTGCTGTGGATTTTCCTAACTATGAAACCCCATCTCGTCCTCGCAGCTCCTGGTGCGATTTTTAGTCCCACGCCGGAAATTGCAGAGGAGCGGGGCTGGCAATATTTTAGATTGTGTTTTGCGGCTGTGGAGGAAGAGGAGGTGCAGAAGAGTAGTTTGAGATTTGCGGAGGGAGTCAAGGCTTTCTGGATGATTAAGAATAAGGAGGATTTGGATGATATCGATGTTGAGGCAAATAATGCTGGGGCTATGGAGGGCGAAGTGAGGAACTTGGGGATGAATATGGCTTGTTAGATTGCGGGGCCAATGATGATGTGATAATATAAGGAGTGGTACATTTGGAAGTTGAAACATGACGAGGCGCTTTGGATTTGGATGTAATATTTAAACACAGAATATAAGATTGTGTTACAGGATACAATTTATGTGTACTTATCGTGAGGTTGCAAGTTAAATACAGATGATGTAGGAACAAATCAGAGATGTGAATTGTTTCAAGCCACCTGTGTCCCCGGGGCCTTCCACGAGGTGTCTTAAGCGAAGATCATAGGGGGTGCTTACTATGAACAATCAGCCCTGAGTGATACGTTGCACAAGTTAACAGTATGCGCATGGGAGAGATCTGTAATGATTCGTTCGGATTGGTGAGTTGTCAATGTCTGTGATCCCATCGGGCAATGACTTGCTATTCCGCTGAATAGGCTTAGGTGAGAATGCATATAGTTCACATGATAACTTGATTTGTTGTTAATAACGATGTCTACCTAGATACTTAGATATCCCAATTCGTATCGCAATATTCTGGTCGTATATTCATTCAATACCTAGGTACTAATTGCAATCATTCAAATCCATCCTTTTTGGACGCCAGAGTTGTCCTTTTAGCAATCGTCTTATAAATGCTCAAAATCCCCAACACCAGCAATTATGCCGCCTACCATACCAAACCAAATCTCAAGCACTCGATGCCTCTTCTGGAACCTTTCCTTCTACCGCATCCATAACCTGTTTAGTTATATCCTGGAAGATTGGACACAGAGAACAATCCCGATATTTCTCTACCAAAAGCCCGTCATCCCCGACAGTATTAGCACCGTTCTGGGCACCACTCATGTCTTTGCCATTTACTAGCGTTCCTTCCGGATATACTGGTTTTCTGCCTGCTTCTACCAACATTCCGAATTGAGGATCAATCGGAACTCGCCCTAAGAATTGTACTCCAAAATCTTTGGCCATAACCTCTCCACCTCCTCTGTTGAATACATTTGTACATTCCGAACAATTTGGACACACAAATCCACTCATATTCTCCACTACTCCGAGAACATGTATTCCAGTCTTCGTACAGAAATTTAATTCTTTTCTCACATCTGCCGTTGCCACTGCCTGCGGCGTCGTTACAATCACCGCACCGGCGACTTGACCTGGAAATGCATTCTTGAGAAGTGTTTCCGCCAATGAAATATGTTCGTCCGAGGTACCAGGCGGGGTATCAATAAGAAGGTAATCGAGTTCGCCCCATAACACATCCGTGAGGAATTGTCTAACCATAGCTGTTTTCTTCGGTCCGCGCCATACTACTGCATCGCCTCGTTCTCGGAGTAGAAAGCCGAGAGACATGCATGATAGGGCGCCGATGGAGGAAGAGGGGTTGGAGGGGTGAACAGGGACGGGGATCCAGCCGCCGGGTGCTTGGGTTACTTTGGCAGATTCGAGGGAGAAGAGACGGGGAATGGAGGGTCCGGTTAGATCGATATCGAGGATTCCAACGGAGGAACCGGCGAGAGATAGGGAGAGGGCAAGTTGGGTTGTGACGGAGGATTTTCCAACTCCTCCTTTACCGGAGAGGACCTGTGAGGTTCTTTGTTAATCGATGATGAGTGCTATGATTGTGTTAAGATACTTACGAGAACAATGTGTTTCACTTTATCTAAAGACATCTTTGGGGATACAAAAAATCAAATAAAAATGGTAAAATGTATTGTTCTAGTCATTGTCGCATCATTTGAAATACCATCAATAATGGGTAGAATATTGAAATTCTTATCGCTTATCAATCCGATGTTGCTAATCAATCACTGTTAATCGGCTGAAAACCCATCACTAATCTGACATCTGATCCATGACGCTTTTAGCGTGCATTGTTAGGCTTTAGCAACGTTACGGGGCCGGGTCTTACAACGGATGAATTGTCAAATTGATTGACCCTGAACCCTTGGAGCTCGAAATTAATACGAGTAACAACACTACAATACACGAAATTGCGCTTTTCTAATCAACACAAGCATACATAATATATCCGAACGGATCTGCGGATGATGGTCGAAAGAATATCAATATGAAAGAGGTTTTCAAAGGGGGATGTGAATGGATATGGACGACCCTTGGGGCTCACCGTGGGCCGACGAATTGAACAATGATGATGGTTTGGGGGTTCGAAGCATTGACAATGTAACAGATGGAGACCAGGTTGGAAAGGCAAGTGAAGCTTTGAGAAATAACGTGAATGCGACTTGGGGTACTTCGGACGATGGATTTGGTGATTGGGAAGAGGACACGGGGAAAAAGAAAGGGGGTTTGGGTTTGGACGGCGCAGCAGAACAATGGGATACACCGAATCGTGGAAGAGAACTGGAGGTGGTAAAGGATGATGTTGGAGCATTATCGCCGGGTTGGGGTAAAACTTCTCCAAGTCCTGCGCGTGCAGCACCGAAGTTATCGCCGAGTCTTCTGGAAGAACCTGTTGCAATTGCTCGAGAACCATCTCCGGATCCTTGGGCAAACGCGGTTCATTCTGAGGAGTCTGCGACGGTTGAAGACAAGCCTAATTCAGGGGCTACAATTACGAATCTTGAAACCTTTCAAGAGGTTGTCGAAGAAGCCACCGATGAGGATTTCGAAGTAGAGTCTCCCGAGGCATTCGAAGCAATTGTGCCGCAACCCGGGGATTCCGATGAGACAAAATTCGAGCCAGTAGAAATTCCCTTTGATGAAACAACAGAAACGGCAATAGGTGGAATAAATACGGACAACGAGGAAGCAATTGGACTAGGCATTGATTTAGAACCTAAGAGTGATTTATGCACAGAAATCATCGAGGAAGAACATCATGAATCAGACGATACTGTTCTGCCATCGACACAGGTGCCCGAGCATGAATCTTCGCGACCATCCTCTTCGCCATCTGACATAAGTCATCACGATGAACTTCTGCCAGATTCACCACGAACATCCTTAGATGAAGAACCGAAAAGGTCTCGAACCACAAGAGCTGTGTCGCCGGATGTCCAGGAGCCAGCTAAAGAATTCGATGACCCAGCGAAGCCAGAAAATGAGCTTGTTGCGGAAGGTGCTAAATCAGAGGAGGAAACTGATAGTTCGACGGAACCAGATAATGAACATGCTGCTGTAACAGAGTCAGGCGCTGCAGAGGATGATGAAGAAATGGAACAGAGCTCCAATGTCGAAGACCCAAATGATGACGACTTTGGAGATTTTGGAGATTTCGAAGAGGGGTTTTCGGATGATGGAGAAGAAGTTTTGGAAAATCACAATTCGATTGAGCAACCCATTTCTTCCGAATTGGCTACACCACCGAACGAATCTTCGGAAATCCGCTTGTCGAAAAGACCGACAGGACCCGTTGATTTTTCTATTGACCTGAATTCCGTGAAGACATTGTTCGGGGAAGCCAAGGAAGATGACAACGGAGCAGCTGAGAAGATCTTTATACCCGATACTATTATTGCTGATACTTTCGCATCTACTGAGGAACGAAAGATGTGGTACAGAGTATCAAGGTATGGCACTATGCGAAAATACAATACTGGAGACGATGAAAACTATGTTCGGATCTCATGGGCTCCATCTCAGGTTAAGCAAGAGACCCAAAAGATAGTGGCCAGATGGATGGAAGAAGATCGAAATAATGGACATCTGAGTCTCGATGGTACGAGCAAAGGTGGTTCTCTTTTTGGCTGGAATGATCCAAATGCACCACCTGTTCCATTAGCAACAATTCTTGGCTCGAAACGAAAGAGTGTGAAGCTCGAAGCGAAGGTAGCCGCTAAGGAATCAGTTGAGGTTCCTAGGGAATCGTCGAAAGAGGTCACTCAAGATCAATCCGGGTCCAAGTCTCGTTCACCATCGAAGCCGAGAGAACGCAGCTCGACCAATTCAGTGGACTCAGGTGTTGATATAAAAGCACCTCCACCGCCTCCCGTCGCACAATTTGGGTGGGCTTCGTCACCAGCGATGCAGACCGCTTCTGGTATTACTCCCCCAGATACAGGATCTTTCATGAAAACCTTCATCCTCCCGATGAACCCTACATTTGGAAATTTTGGACAATTGAGTCCTGCATTACCAAGCCCAGCACCCAAATCTCCAATCGAACCACCCCCAAGCTTCGCCCAAGAAGTCAAGAAACCACGACCAATTTCAATGCCACCCCCATCTACAAACAGCTCGAACGGTAAACCTGCCAATTTAGCCTTCATTTCTAACGATTCAGATGATGATGAAGATGAAGATGATGATGAATGGGGCGAAATGGTTTCATCGCCCATTGTTACTGAGGCTCCGAAGTTTCCCACCCGAGGTTTGAGGCATAAGAAGTCGATGAGTCTTGGAGATACACTTGCCAACTCTATTACTCTTCCAAATCCCCAGGTTACAAAGCTTCAATCTGGATTTGGTCTAAACCCGAAATCAAGGCTCGAACAAATTCCTGGACCTAAAAGCCCTATAACATTACAGTCCCCGCAATTGTCCGGTACCATTCCATCCCCTATATCTTCGAATCCGTCATTTGTAGATTTGTGGTCTTCTCCAGCCACTACTCCAGTGCCAATTCAATCAACTGCGCTACCCCCTCCGTCACCGGCACTATCAGCCACAGCATTTTCCGATCGCTTGCCACAACCTATCTTGTCCTCACCATTAAACACAACCTTCACAGATACCTGGTCTCAACCTCCTCCCCCTAGCACCTCTGTATCAGCCCCACCAATCACAAGCACCTGGTCACAACCCTCGAGTCCCTCGGTGCCACCTCCCTCAACCAGCGCGCAGGATCCATGGGCGTCAGTCGATTTCTCCTTTTTCGATGCACCAACTCCTGCACCGGCAATCGCAACAGGACCTGCCCCTATATTACTGTCCAAACAAACCACAAAACCAAGACCTCAATCTTATCCAGCTCCACCAAAACCTAAGACCGTTACCTTCTCTACTCCTTCGTCTAAATCTACGCCCTCACCTCCGGTCCCTACCTATACAAGTCATGATTCAAAGACCAAATTTGAAATGGAGCAGGATGAGATTGTGAAGAGAATTGTGGGTGGCTTGCCTAATTTGGGATATATGCTTAGACGATGAGCTACCTAGACCACTTGGGGAAAGTAATTCGAAACCGAGGAGGCTTTTTGCATATATGTATGTGTACAATGATAGGAGAAAAAGCAAGGGGGGAAAAGCAAAAGAAAACGCGATGAAACTGTCTTTATAACAGAAACAACAAAGTCCACGAAGAGGTAAAACTCCTAAAGGTGACAGGATGGTAGATAAGGGGCAACTGGGAACATTTAAAATATCAGTACTTCGGAGTTATGGAGCGAATTGATGGGATTTTATGGGTGTATGTGCATAGCTTGCGTGGATGGTGAATTGGGTATTGGTAAAATTGACCTCCCATGAGATGACAATGGGTCTCGTAATTGGATTAGGAATTTTCTGGATGTTATTGGCTCGGTTGAATACCTTGCTAGATAGAATGGATAAATGAAGATGGTATACAATGACAAAATTTGATACTGGAGTTTATGACGTGATGTGTATCTTTTTTTTTTTTTTTTTTTTTTTTTTTGCAAAAGTACAGTAAGGAGAAGAAGATTCAGTTTATGTGCCTTGATATGGCACGAGTTTATCACATATGAAAAAATGACATTATTGGAAGATTGTCTGAAGCTTTGAAAGGCGACTTTGCCTTCAATGACCGCTCACGTGAAATGCATGCGTCGGGTGAAAATTCACTGTCACCGAAAGTAAAATATGCTGCTACTTGTCGCTTTTAAGAAGCTTAATTATATTCATAGCAAGGGCTGCGAAATACTATCTACATGGGCATTTCCTCACTGCAAATATCAAAAAAAAAAAAAAAAAAAAAAAAACTCTCTCCCGGTTATTATATCATGCCACCCTAATCTAAATCCATACTGTCTTCACTTTTATGCCTCCCGTTAATTCGCCAGCATCTCTCCCTAGATGAACGCCGAAAAGTAATTAAACCAACCGTAAACCAACCTTCCGATTTCCCCCACGCTCACTAGCCAAGCAAGCTTCTATTCCTACACACCAGCCAATAACGCCTGAAACGTTTGAGAAAATACACAGAACCCCCGTATCAGTCTCCTTCTCCTTGCCTTTCGTGTTCACATCTCAAAATCCCAACTCTTAAGATTATAGATATGGCATCCACAGAGCGTCACATTGCGCAAGATTCATAGGATTGACTGCCTTGGCAATCAAGTCAATAACCGTCTGGTTAGCAGGTAACGCACCTTCTGGCGACTTAGCTATGCTCAATGCCCTCTTAACGATCATATCACTATTTATCTGAACAGCATCCCTCAAATCAGTGTCTTTGGTGGTAGTTCTATGGCTGCTCGTGAACCAGAATATCATTTCGTCGCGTACGAAAAGACAGAGTTGCTGTTCGAGTTCAAACTCAGGTTCAGTGAGGCATCGTGCAATAGCCATGATGGCGCAACTGTAAATACCCTCAGTAGCCAATGGTCCCATAAGTGTCTGAATGTTGGGAGTGAGACGGAATGGTACAGGCTCAGGGTTGTGGAAAAGTGCTTTGCCTGCTGCCATACACGACATCAATTCAGATCCCCAAATGTTTCCTGTGGCACGTGAAATTGTGATCTTATGAGGATAACGATTATGCATATGTAGAATATACGTCATAAATGTAAGAGCTGCATATTGATAAGAGAACTGTCTTCGGAATAGCCAGAATTCGGAGAACGATGG